GGGGTTATTTTGTCAGAGCTGGCAGGATTGAAGTGATCCCTGTTGTTTCTAATCTTGTCCCTGCTTCTTTCCTCTGTCCATGGCATAGTAGGTCAGGGTTGTCTCTCCTAACACCTCTGTTCTATATTTTGCCCTTTCCTGCCTCCCTCATGACAGGCTTCTCTCTTGATGGCATAAATCAGGCTGTGAACCCCCTGCTTAGGCTTAGGGTGGTTATTCCCATCTCCTGATGGATTCACACTGACCCGTTTCCTTGGCCAACTGCCACACCATGGAAGAATCAGTTCATTGCGTACTACTATTTATAGGAGGAGGGATTTGGATCTGATTTATCTCCAACTGGTATGTTCAGTTTTGTTCAGATTTCAACAAAGTACTAAATGAATCCCAATGTTTCCTTGATCAATGGGTTTTCACTCTCATGGAAAATGGGTCACGTGAATATCAGAATGTTCTGAAAACCCTGTGGTGACTGGTGGGTGAGCCTGGGGCTGTGCCTGGTCAGCCCTTCTAGAGGACTGGTTATGGTTTGGTTTGGTTTTCCTTGGAGTTTCAGTGTCTGTGTCCGTGTGGAACAGCACTTGGCTCTTAGGCAGTGCTGGAGGAAATCATTGTGTTTCTGGAAGAAACTGTGCATCCCATCCCAGGTGTGCAGAGTGACTTCCTCTCCTGGAAGGTGGAGCTGGTTGGACTGCAGGTCCTGCAACTGCTGCTTTGCTGCCACCAGCACCTGTAAAGCCCTTTAAACCCAGGTAGAGCTAAGGGCACTCGGCACGTGCCGGTGTGGCCTTTTGTTCTTATTTCTTGAGCTGATTTGAATCTAAGCAGGGCTTAGTTTGGGACTTCCTTAGCGCTACTTTTAGTATCTCCCCTTTAAAATAGATCATCCCTCTGATTTATTTGTCCTTCTGGGCCATCAGCTTTTGATGTCATCAATTTCCTTTGATTCTCACACACAACGAGGAGCACCTTCTGCCACCACCCCTGGGTTGGAAAAAGAGCTGCTGCAAAGGTGTCCTGGCTAGTGCCACATCTCACAGCAGGCTTGGTGGCACGCTGACACCTTCTTCTTGGCCACAAAGGTGTAATGTACTGTCTTCTGCTGACAAAGCATGTGGCAGGCTGTGCCCCCTGCACGTCTTGTGTGACTGCAGAGCTGTGGTGGTGCAGATTGCTGCGTGTTAGATGTGGCCATGGAGCAAATGAATCTTCCCAGCTCCTGAGGGTGTGTGGTGTTTCAGTTCCATCCAGGGATGAGAATGATACCTGGGCTGTGGAAATGAGACGAGAAGGTCACACCTTTCATGGAACCATGGAGCTTAAAAGATCATCTCATTCTGATTCCCTGTCGTGGGCAGGAACACCTTCCACTAGACCAGGTTGCTCCAAGCCCCATCCAACCTGACTTCACCTGTCTGTGTCTTATTGTGTAGGCCAGCCATGCCCCAGAGTGACATGTCTGGGGCAGCCTGAGCAAAGTGCTTCTTTCAGGTGGCCCAAAGTATCTGTCCCAGTCTTTGCTGTGAGCCTGGGGACACAGGTCTACCCACTGCTGGAGGAGCAAGTGGCCAGAGCTTGTGGAGAAGTGATCTGTTGTATGGACACATCAGCTGTAACCATGTGAGCCTGTCCCAGGCTGATTGGGTTAAATGGGACTTTCCCTGTTCTTTGGAAAGGAGCCTTGAAAGGAAAACCAAGGGCTGAGTGAAAACTGCTAATGCTCAGCTCATTTTCACTGCTTTATACATTTTTAGTATTAGGTTTTGATCTTTTTTCCTTCTAAGGTGCCAGTCTGAGATTCTGTGTGGGCTGGTCTGAGCAGGCTCTGAGTCTCAAGGACCTGATCATGTGGAAGGGATTCCTTCTTGGATGCTATGCAGCAGGCAGACTTTATCCTTTGATCCTGTAACTTCCAGCTCCTCTCTCCAAGTGATCAAGTTTTGGTTTTGCTGAGCTAAAACCAGTCCATTGTCACCCATTTCTTCAAGAGTTAGTGCTTAAAAATGGAAAGGATCATAAATAAAGTGACCTCTGAGAATGGGTTGGGTTGGAAGGGACCTTAAAGTTATCTAATTCCACCTCCTGCCATTTGCAGAGACACCTCCTGCTAGACCAGGTTGCTCCAAGCCTCATCCAGCGTGGCCTTGATGAGCAGGTAGATGCTCCTGCAGACGGGGAGGGAATGCTGCATTTCGCAGAACTTAGTTGGGTAACACGAGTGGATTTTCACCAGTAAAACTGACTCAGGGTCTCTCCTGTAGCCAAACTCCAAACCTGGGTGCTGAATCATGGCCTGCTGTTCTCCAGTTCCTCTTAATAAAGCAAAAGTTGTGGTTTTCCAGGAGAACAAATACCTCCCTGATGATGACTATTTCTTGCTTGATTAATAATCAAATGAAATGATTTTGCTGTGAATTTACTGCCCAGTAAAGATTTTCCTTGGGCACAAACTTCAATGGTTTTAGCTCCAGCTGGTGTATGTCCAAGAAAGCCATGAGCCACTGCTGTGTCTTAGAATAGAACTGGTCCCACTGTGACCTGTAGGTCTCACTGTGCATCTTACCAATGGGGTTTGGGTGTTGTGAAATACACACTGGTCAGCTGAAACAGCTCTGGTGCACCCAGAGGGTAGTGGATTTCCTGGGGAGAGTGGGGAGGGCAATGGGAGGAGGAGCTGTGTTGGGTGTACAAGAGAAAACTAGAGACCTGGCTCACCAGGAGAAGTTAACACTCAGCTCCATGCTTCCCATCCTCCTCCGAGCCATAGGATCCCACTGCAGTGCCTGTGTGTCACGTTTCATTACCACTTGCAGTGAATGGTTCTCATGGGAAAGGCTGGGTTCTCCTGGTGAGTCGGAAATGTCTCAGGAGCTCAGTGCATTCAGAGTATGTGTCAATTGTTTCCTTCCAGGCGCTTTGGGAAGGGAGCCTAGAAGTTTATCTCAGCCTTTGGAACAATATAAACAGATGCCAAGCACTTCAAGTACGGGGAGAAGGAAAATGTCCTGCTTGGCCTCCCTGAACAGACTGGGAGGAGGAGGGGGGGGAGGACACAAAAAGCAACATTAAATAAGTCTCTCCCTTCAGCCTAGGGCCAAGCAGCAAAGTCATGCAGATGTTTGCCTGCGTACATACAACTTAGTTTCATATTACCAAAATCTGCACTGAGCACACGTGGTCCAAAGATTAAAGAGATTGTCCAGTTCTGTTGGCAGCATATTAAAGTATTAAGACTACAGGCTTACTATGATGTGTTTCTATTATCAAGCTGACCACAGGATTCAAGTGATTCAAAGGGGAGGACGTTGTTTAATACACATACCTTTGGTGTGAGGCTTTTGGATACGATCTTGGGCGTGAGAATCCCTTGGGAAGGGCTACCACTGCCCTGTCTGGCTGGGGTCACCCCCACCCTCCAGCTCCTGCTCGTGCTCAGATGAGATCTCCCCTTCTCTGTCCCTGTGCGGCGTTTAAGCCATCTGCCATGGTAAAGCTGATGTTTCCAGTTGCTGGAAGAGCTTTCCTAGTTTCCTGTGGCACGCAAGAGCTAAATCCGATCTTCAGGTGTTGATCCCGAAGGTCTTGCTGCAGATGTCTCCATGGCTCTGCCTGTTCCCTCTGTGCTGTGATCTCATTCCTCAGGGATCGCAGTGCTGACACACCAGGCTGGGGGCAGCACGCAGCACCCTGTTCTCCTGCCTGAGTTTGAACCCTGCTCAGCTCTGGATTTCTGTTTCTTCCATCCCTGAAAGTGTCCAGGGATGGAAGATGGTTTCTGTTTCTTCCATCTCTGAAAGTGTCCTGGGAATCCAACTCTCATTTTCCAAGAGTTCTGTGTGTAGGAGCTGCTCTTTTGGCTTAAAGTGAGGTGGCTGAATGATCTGGGCACAGAAAAAGACATGTAAGTGCTTTCTGTAAGCACAAGATACTTATTCCAAGTTGGCAGAAATGCAGAAACCCCTGAAAATGAAACATTTTTGTCAAACTCATCAACATAACAACTGGCAAATGTGGTCAAAGTATTTGGTTTGAAAATCTCAGTACAAGGGGAAAGGCATTCTTGGGGTTTACAGGCAGCATATGAAATTTGGTACTTACTCTGTTAATTTTGGGAAGTGCTGAGTACATAGGAGTTGACAAGAACTTCGGTGACTAGTCCTCCCTCCTCTGCTGTGTTGTAACACCACCCTAGTGGCACGTGGGACATGGGACCTGTGTAGTGGCACCTGTCTAAAGGCACCTAATGGTACTTTGACACTTGTTCTACAATGGACTGTACAGTCAAGTGATGTAAATTTTGTTGGCCTAAGCTCTTCAATTAAACTGAATCAGTTGGCATGAGGCAGTTGTTAAGTCCAGCTGATGTATTTGGGAAAACAAATGGAAAAATTAATGGAGAATGTGTTTGAAGAGCACTCCAGTCAATATTACAAAATGAGGATGATGGCTTTCTGTGGGGTTAGTTTTGGAGTTAAATCACTCACAAGGGCAACAATTATCAGAGTCTGCGCTGGCATGTGCTCTCAGAAATGGTGGTACAGAAATACTTCTCCAAGTGGAAGCTACAGAGCTCCCAGCTCATGTTTGGAGGTAAAAAAGACAGGAGTAATTACTGTTAGGCTAGCAAAGGATGGTTCAGTTGCCTGTTGAAGTGAAACAGTGACAGGACAAAGAGTAATGGGTTCAGACTGAAAGAGGGAAAATTTAGGTTAGATATATGGAAGAAGTTTATCCCTTTGAGGGTGGTGAGACACTGGCACAGGTTGCCCAGGGAGGTTGTGGCTGCCCCATCCCTAGAAATGTTCAAGGCCAGGTTGGATGAAGCCTTGAGCAACTTGAGCTAGTGGGAGGTGTCCCTGCCCATGGAATGAGATGAGCTTTAAGGTCCCTTCCAACCCAAACCAGTCTGGGATTCTGTGAAGTGCAACATGAACTGTACTGGGCAGTGATGCCCAAACTCCACAAAGTTGATATTGATGTTTATGTGCTTGTGTTGCCAGGTCACCACACGATTTACATTGGGGTCCACGTGCCGAAGAGCTACAGGAGGAGGAGACGTCACAGAAGAAAACCTGGGCACAAAGAAAAGAAAGAGAAGGAGAAAATCTCGGAGAACTACTCAGACAAATCAGATGTGGAAAATGCTGATGAGACGAGCAGCAGCATCCTTAAACCACTCAGTAAGTGCTGGTTCCAGCTGTCACTCACTACAATGGTCTGTTGTCTAGGGATCTGCTCATGGAGGAGGAAAATTGATCCATGAAAACAATCATCTCACATTGCAGGGTCGGAATAGCCTTAGCCAGTTGCTGTCCAATGGTTGCTGAGGCTTGGAAAAGGCACAGGCTGGAGCAGACATTTCATCCCTCTGTATCACCTGAGTTGGCTCCTGAGCAAGTGCCAGCCAGGAACAGGCCAAATGTGTCTAAAGCAATTTGACACTGCATGTAAAGAGATAGCAAGCAAAGGCAAGGGCTGAGTAGGTGCCTGGGCAGATCTGTTGCAGCTTCTGCCCTGGCTCTGGAGTGTGCACCCTCTCTGGAATTCCAGCACCCCGTGGTTTTGGTTTCATGTGTCACTAACTTTGTGGTGCTAATAACTCTTTTCTCTTCAGTAATTAAGTAGTTTTAAATTTTGCAAACCAAAAGAGGGATGAAATGTAGCATTGCTGTGTGTTTGAGTATCTGTAGGGGTTGGATACCTGATTTTTGAGGTCTGTTTTGGATGCTCTATGCCTATATTCCTG